CACTAACAATGACGCTAAATTCTGCATTCTTCACTGCCTTCGTTACGCACATCATAGCAGAAGCGCAACAAAATAATGCTTCACGAAAAATAAAGCGCAGATGATGAATGAATGACAAGGAAGCACAAAAAAATTTACATACAGTACACAATAGTAAAACAAGAGTATGTTGTTAGTTGCCAACAGCACAGCAGCTCCAGACAAACAATGGCAGTGTTACTCACGTGTGGAGCGAATCAAAGCAATCTTCGTGTCTGTTTTCAGGCCTTCCCGCTTAGCTCTCTCCAGCGCTGGAAAGCTTTTATAATATTAACGCGGGTCCTAAAGCTCTTTCCTGAACATAACCCTTCATTTTCCAGTGATATTCTTATGAGCTTTTCTCTTTTTTATTGTCTCTCATCTCTATTTCTGCAGTCTTTCTTCAAATCTCCCTCTTGCTCATTCTCTCTCCTCCACCGCCATAGACCCCCAATGCTGATTGGCTACACACGTTTGTTGTTGTTTGTTCGTGTGTCGGTCCGACTAACTTCCAAACAGGGTTTTTCAAATATAGTTTACCCGACCTTTAAACCAGTGTGTCCTAAAATGATCTCTCAGAGTGGTCAAGAAACTGCGTCTGTGTTTGTTTGGAAGTGTGATTGTTTGTTTGGATGTGTTTGTTTATCCGTTTAGACAGGTTGGTGTTGGTTTGTTTGTTTGAATGGATGGTTGAGTTTCTTGTTTGTTTGGATGGGTGGGTGTTAGTTTGTTTGTCTGTTTAGATGGGTGAGTTTTGTTGTTTGTTTGGATGGATCAACGGGTATTTGTTTGGGTGGGTGGGTGTTGGTTTGTTTGAATGTGAGGGTATTTGTTTGTTTGTCTGTTTGGACTTTGGACGGGTGGGTGTTTGTTGCTTGTTTGGATGGGTGGGTTTGTTTGTCTGTTTGGATGGACGGGTATTTGTTTGGATGGGTGGGTGGGTGTTTGTTTGTTTGGGCGGGTGTTGGTTTGGTTGAATGTGTGGCTATTTGTTGTTGGGACAGGTGGGTGTTTGTTGCTTGTTAGGATGGGTGTGTTTGTTGTTGGTTTGGATGGACAGGTATGTATTTGTTTGGATGGGAGGGTGTTGGTTTGTATATGATTTGTTGCTTTGGATGGATGGGTGTTGGTTTGTTTGGATGGATGGATATTTGTTTGTTTGGATGGATATTTGTTTGTTTGGATGGATGGATAGATGAATGGGCAGAGAGACCAAAAAAAAGAAAAAAAAAAGAAAGACCAACAGCAAACAGACACTACACCATAACCAATGATTAAAACATATTACAAATGTATAATTTATCACTAAAATATTTGTCTTAACAAATTCCAGTTTTGTTTGCACCACATCCTTAAACTGCAGAGCAAGTGAAATGACCACTAAGAGAACACATGGCTCGTCTATTGAGCTAGCCTATATTTAGTCCAAGCTTAAGACACACACTCTCTTTTAAGAGTGGTAGGGAACAAATATTTTACCTCATGCACACAGAAACAATCACGCATTTGAGGTCATGAATTGTGGCAGGATGTCCTGTGTGAGATAAGACTTGAGGTTTAGATTTTCAGCAGTCTGTCCCATTTTATCTGGGCGAGTGAGCTGGTTTCTGTCCCATTTTCACATTTATAATTAGAGCAAGAGAGCAGCCTCTGCAACCATCAAGACTGTGTGCGTGTGTCTGAGAGCACTAAAAATACTTCTTTCAGAGTGCTAACTATGTCCTAATGTGGGTTACCCACACAAAATGCCATTAGCCTATGTTGTGAGCTAACAGACAAAACCACCCAAGTAATGAACACCTGATCAACTTCAGTATCTCAGACTACTGGGGTCAATCTCCACTTCATTTCCCATGGGATGCTATTTTTACTCAGAAGTCAATGAAGACAGACAGGGAGTTAAAGAGAATAAACACTCACAGGACATGTACTGTTAATGCCATTACATCCCAGTAACCAATGAGCTAATTAGTGTCAATGTGAAGAATGGATTATGACAATTTTGTTAAACTTATAGTTGATTATAGCATTCTCATACACAGTCAGTGAAATAAATATTAGGATAGGATTTCATGTTTGCCATGGTTTAATCCGCACTGAGAGACAAAATAAGTGTAAACTCCAACAAAAGTCTAAATTCCTGCAAACATTCATGAAGGACAAAGTTAAATTAAACACCTTTAAACACACTCCTTAACTCTTGGTCTGGCTCCTGATAAAATGCTCCTCAACACCACTGTTAAAAAAAACCTGTTCGTCTAAATTTAATTTGGCTTATTAAGCGCACCACATATTATGACTTTAAATGAGAAAACTATTTTACTTGTTTATATATATATATATATATATATATATATATATATATATATATATATATATATATATATATATATATATATATATGATTTAGTAAGTATGGGTGTGCCAGTGGAAGGAACAAGCAAACGACGTAAACTTAAACCTGACCGTTTTTAACATAATAGCATTGAGCTAGTTTTAAATATTAACAAGTCGTTGTGTCATGATGTCTTATTGGAGAAAATGTATCCTAAATGTCATTTATCATGATTTAGGCTACAATACCCAATACACTACGAAAAACTGAATGTTACCAACTGGAAGTAGCCTGCTTAAAAACTTAATATCTTTAGGCAATGTGCATATTTGACCAAACTCTAACATCTCTTTTTTTAAACGAAATAAATCATTTTCTCTCACTCTCTCTCTCAAAATAAAAAGGAAATAAAGTAAGAAATGTGTGTTTTGTTGATAACGCTCGACAACATTTAACGTTATAGAGAGAAATTCATAGGGGGTGGCTCGTTCATTAGCAAAAAATCCAAAACAACCCAATGTAATAGAACAATAACCAAAAAGATCATCGTAACTGAACTGCATTCATTCATGTAGGTTATTTATTTTAATATTAGCTTTGTTATATGTTTGTTATAACAGGGCTATAGTTAGCATAGCATGTTAGCCATAGATCCACATCATCGATCTGGATTATTTCAGGAAAACCTTCAGATCATAGATCAACTAAACTCAATAAATCCCACATACACAAATCTGATAAATTGCTGATATATTAGAACTACTCACTAGCGACTGTAATAGATTACATTTATTTTGTTGTTGTTGAACAAAAGGCTTGATTGAAGCCAGTAAACACAGATAATATATCCAGTGCTGGTAAACAATAGTTGATCCATGGCAACAGACAGCATAAACACTAAACGCACATGCCAAAATAAGTATAAAAACATAATGATTTAATTTACCTGGAGGGGCAGATAAGCCCGTGTCGGGTGGACCGGCGGACGCCATTTTGATTCGGGTTTACTGGACCCGCTCCATGACCGGAATCAGACAGACTAGTGTCCGGTTCCGCCCGGACTGACTGACTCTCTCTGGCACCCTTTACTGTCACTGACCTAACTTGAGACTACTACTAACAGAGATTCGGACCACTACCTATACATAAATTATATACTTAGGTTACACTATATTACATAATCCAAATAATAGAATTTAGGCTAATATCCACAGTTGTAAATACTGCCGACGACAGTCTTGCCGTGTCAACGTCCCATTAGTTTGTGAAACAAACGAGTCAAGCCTTTATGTACAGTGCTAAAAATAACAAAACCGATCAGAAAGTGGATAACATCTAGGACAGGCAAAGCATACAGGACATTTTAAAAGTCATTTCACATTGGGAAATAAATAATAGTTTAAATGTGAAAAAAATATAAAAACACATGTTAAAATGTATCAGATAGGCCTACTGAACCTTTTGTGCCAACTAGCATGCTTAAAAGTTAAGAATGCCGTTCAGTTAAAGTTTACCTTCATTAGCTAGGCATTGTTGACCCTTGCCTGAATGTGTCTCTGTACGTCAGTGTATATTACCCTCCCAAAAAATACAAAATGTATAATGCACACACAGGCCTATAAACAAACAAAGATATGAACCATATAGTGTTTGTTTTTTGCCTGTGTTCATGCTGGAAACATAGGCTAAATTATGTTGCCTGCAGAAGATTGAAAAAATAACAACAGACATTTTGTTTGTATAGTAGGCTACATACAATTTTTAATATTATTGGGAACAGAGAGGAAACTGTTTCAAAATGTTATACTATCCAAGCAGTTCTTCTTTTATGATAACGGCTGAAAAATTTCTCTCAATAATCAAAACTTTCTGCAAGAAAACTGGATTAGAAATAGAATATGCATATTAAAAGAAATAAACAAAAAAATGGAACAGGTTTGGTTCAACTCAAGTTATATTGAAATGTGTGCACTCTGTATTAAACTGATCCACTTTCACAATATCACAGTATTTCTATTAAAAGAAATAAACAAAAAATGGAACAGGTTTGGTTCAACTCAAGTTTACATATAATGAAATGTGTGGACTCTGTGTTAAACTGATTCACTTTCACATCAGGGATTCTGTTTGGCTGTGGGTCTTTCACACGGTTGTACGGAGCCCCTAAAGGGACGTGGTGGTGGAAATCTTTTTAGGATGGGAGATTTTTTTTTTTCAATCTTTTGCGTTCCCTCGCAAAACTTTTGCGTTCCCCCGAGAAACTTTGCGTTCCCTCGCAAAACTTTTGCGTTCCCTCGCAAAGATATTTGCGTTCCCACGCAAAATGTTTGCGTTCCCTCGCAAAGTTATTTGCGTTCCCACGCAAAAGTTTTGCGTTCCCTCGCAAAGATATTTGCGTTCCCACGCAAAACCTGTTGGCAGCTCGGACAGACACTTCCTGCATGTCCCGCTGGCAGTGTTTCAGAGCTCCGACGTTAATGGAGCGTTTCATAGTGTTTGAACTTGGACTCTAATATAAAGAAATGCGGTCAGTGCTTAACTCAATGTGTTCAGTGAAGTTGGCAATATATTCACATGCTATTCGAACTTCCCGGATCAATATTCTTGAGCTAAACGTTGTTAAAACACAAACGACACCTATTTACAATCACAGTAACCTAGACAACGAGATACAACCCAATTCTCCTCAAAACGAGCTTTATAATATAAATGTCTTTAACCGGCGAGACAAGTCCGAATAAGGGACCGTCTGCAAAGTGCAAATCCCAAAACCCTTCTGCACATTTTATATGATTTAACATATTCAATAGCTTCACTGTGATACAATGTAGGCTACTGTCACCAAATTCAGTTCCAATAACTTTACCCTTTTTAGAAAAAATATTCAGTAACTTCACACTGTTATAGGCTACAGTGTAATGCCATCAAATTCAGTAAGCAAATATAATGCAAATGCTATGGTTGTAACTATTATGTTAGCTGCGTACAGTAGCCTACCAATATAATTTGTGTAAAGAATAGGCCTACTTATTTTTTTATGTGCAATTACTTCCCAAACTAAGTGTTGTATAACCAACATTAGAGCACTGATGTGTGAACTAAATTTGTTGTGTTACAGTGAAGTTATTAATTTTTTTTTTATATATAATATAAAATGTGCAGAAGCAGTGCAGTATGACCAGTGAGTTTACCATTGATGTGTAAACTGAATTGGGTGGTTTGTAACATTGAAGTTAATGACTATTTTTATATTTTTGACTATGAGTTGACGCTGTAGTCGTTTTTGGGGTTATATTGCACTTTGCAGATGGTCCCTTCGGACTCAGCCGCCTGCGTGCTCATAGAGATCCATTTATATATTATAAAGCTCGTTTTGAGGAGAATTGGGTTGTATCTCGTTGTCTAGGTTACTGTGATTGTAAATAGGTGTCGTTTGTGTTTTAACAACGTTTAGCTCAAGAATATTGATCCGGGAAGTTCGAATAGCATGTGAATATATTGCCAACTTCACTGAACACATTGAGTTAAGCACTGACCGCATTTCTTTATATTTGAGTCCAAGTTCAAACACTATGAAACGCTCCATTAACGTCGGAGCTCTGAAACACTGCCAGCGGGACATTAAACAGGAAGTGTCTGTCCGAGCTGCCAACAGGTTTTGCGTGGGAACGCAAATATCTTTGCGAGGGAACGCAAAACTTTTGCGTGGGAACGCAAATAACTTTGCGAGGGAACGCAAACATTTTGCGTGGGAACGCAAATATCTTTGCGAGGGAACGCAAAAGTTTTGCGAGGGAACGCAAAGTTTCTCGGGGGAACGCAAAAGTTTTGCGAGGGAACGCAAAAGATTGAAAAAAAAAAAAAATCTCCCATCCTAAAAAAAATTCCACCACCACGTCCCTTTAGGGGCTCCGTACGGTTGAAACTGTATGATGAGGGGGCATTTCTTCCTCCCACTATATTTGACTTGATTTGCCTTGCCAATATATCGCAGGAGCAGTTTTGTGGCACATTTGGCACGGTCTTTGATCGTGGCTTCACAACAATGAGGCTTCACCAGCTCCTCCGTTTTACACATATCATTCATTTGGCTGTCAAGCTGCAAGAGAATAGACAGTTTTAAAGGCAACGAGCCAAGGATAAAGAATAAATAGCATTATTGCTGAGATTACTCTTTTAGCCATTCGTTTGCGTCAAAATTGGCTGTTTACAATTGATTTATCTAACAGATTTGATTTTTTATCACACACAAATACACTGAGAAAATCAACCCAAAAGCTTTCCCTTACCTCGGCCTCTATGCATGCAGGTCTCTCCTGTAACACTAGAGGACAGCACCGTTCAACCATTTCATCTACTGAGAACGGGAAACCCTTCCTGTGGGTGATAAATTAGATTTGAGTTATTAATTCTTGAAATATTTTAAGATAAATATCTTAATTTTCCAATGCCAACAGTTTGCTGCATGTTGGTAAAACCAAAATTGAGCTGTTTTAGGACGGAATCAAAAACTTTCTACAATTAAATCCAGACTTTTAGTTGGATATATCTTTGGATTTGTATTTTCTTTGTCCTTGAACCATTGTTTTGCTGTGGTTAACAGTGTAATCACTAATCACACGCTGAGATTATTTTCCAGCTGTCCTTGTTTTGACCAGCATTCATGGTCACAGATGTATGAAAGGAAATAGATAAACATAAACATAGATAATAAAAGCACAAAAACAACAGTATCATATCTTTTATATTAAGAAAACAATGGCATGTTACTTAACAAAACCTAAATGTATGTTATTTTCACAGTATAAAACACTATTTAAGTACAAAGAGAATTTCAGAGCTTATCCAGTTTATTATCATTATTATTATTATTAAATTAATACTTTTATTTAGCAAGGCTGCATTCAATTGACCAAAGGTAATCGTAAAAAGACTATCCAAACAAAACAAAAAATTCACAAAAATATTAAGCAACACAACTGTTTTCAACACTGATAATAATAAGAAATATTTCTTGAGCAGCAAATCAGCATATTAGAATGATTTCTGAAGGATCGTGTGACACTGAGTAATGATGCTGAAAATTCAGCTTTACCATCACAGGAATAAACTGCTTTTTAACTAGTTTTTACTGTATTTTTGATCAAATAATTGCAGCCTTGGTGAACATAAAATACTTCTTTCAAAAACATTCTTCAGACAGCGTTACCGACCTCATAGGTTTTGTGAAGTTTATTTGTTAAACATGTAGTTGGGTCTTACATGCTCTTGATGGCTGTATGTGTATCACATAAGTCATGGAGAGTTGCTGGAGCCACAGCAGTGTCGAGGTCTCGATCAGTGGAGTTGTATCCCGGATCTGGAGCAGCAGATGCAAAACAGCTGTACTGCTCTTCTCCCTTCTTCTCTCCACAACACTCAAACTTTGGTCCTTTGGTTTTTTTCTCATCTTTACAAAACTTGTCCACCATCTTCTTCCACTGAAGTAGATAAAAAAAAGAGCTCATTAATAATGTTACCAAGTTATGTGCTTATAGTTCTTGATAAATGCAGTTTAAAGATAAGATACAGTGGGAAAAGTTCAGTTTGTTTTTTTGATGGATATATTTGTATTTTAATTCCATTACACACTCAAGGATATACACACTCTATATGTACCCTAATATGTCTTCTACATAAAGAGTAAATGCTGAATTGTACTGGGTGTACTTATATGTGCTCCATGAGTATCACACCATGGAAATTTGGGTTTGCAAATGAGGAAAAGGGAAAATGAACATAAAACGTTTATATATATATATATAACTTACCTTTGAATTGAACCATTATCTGCAATTGTTTTCATGAGTTCAGAAATTGGGAATTAAACTGCTATTTTTGAATTATTTATCTTCTTCACCTTCTTTTCAGCACAGTGTCGTTCGCCCTTTTTCTCCTGACAGCATTGGTTATATTCTCTCTCCAGGAGATTGATGGCCTTCGACTGACGGACCAGCCAGCCATAGCCAGTGCAAGGGAGACACTTGGTGAAGTATCGTGGTCGGATCTTGTGATGAGTGCAGATTTGTTCTATGTTGGAGGAGTCGGGACGGCCAGGTGGAAAGTTGAAGTCTAGAACTTTAGGCTGCTTCCTAGGCGCTCTCGGAGAAGCCACCAATGAGCTGGGTGATTAAAGACAGTGGAAGTATTAATACTTTCTATATTCATTTTCCCTTTTCCTCTGTCTCATTTGCAAACCTAAGTTTTCATGGTGGGACGAATGAGTACTGGTATTTGTTACATCACCACCTACAACTAGCAAATTAGCTGTATAGGTGGTGGCTAATTGTCGCTGAGAATGACTCATTTATTTCTTTTTTAAGGGTTGAGACAAGACACTTTTTTCTGTCCAAATTACAAAACAAAAAAAAACTCCCATGTATTTATCTTCTTCCTTTTGTTCAAATATATTATAATATTACAGTTTCGTTAATTTATATTTTCTCTTATTTAATATGTCAAAGAATCAATTGGTGCAATGGCCCAGTTATGACTGGTACAGTATTTGTCAAACTTATTGAAATTATTTTTTTAAATACAATACTTTTGAAAATAAGTTAGTGTTGTTTTGTATTTTGCTAATTACTTGCACAATATATGAATTAATCTCGTCGTAAGATAAAGAAACCTAAAGTAGCATCATACATTAGCATATTATATATTGTTGGAAATAGGTTTGTAAGACTCATATAACAATTTCATTTTGTTAAACGTGAACTTTGTGGCTCATTCGAATGTCATGTGGATTGACTATAAAAACAACATTGTATATTCCAATCTGTTCATAAATGAGAGTGAACTTTACTGAATTGTTTTTGTACATTATTATTGTATTATTGTTTTCCATTATTATTGTATTGAAATAATGTTTTTTTGTACAATTTCATAAGATACTGGGGGATAAAACTAAAAAAACAGCTTATGGCATGAAAACAAATAGTAAATTATACATTTATTCAATGTTTAGACCAATTAAGTGTTTTGTTGTCATTTGAAAGCCAATAAAAAAAAACAATGTGCCAAATATGACCAGAAAGAGCTGTCTATCTTTCTGTTTAGAAATAATTATAAGCTATATATATTCAACCTTTTTATTACTAAATCAAAAATTGACTGTGTGCCACCTTACATTTTGTAATTATAGATAGCGCAGAAGAGAACGAATACTATTTCTACACTAATAGAAAAAAAAGCGTTTATTTTCAATGTTGTATAGAATTTATTTTGTACTGTGTCTTTTCATCATTTGATGTGACCATATATCATGTGGTGTAACCAATGTTGTCTCATCAGGATTTGAAGAATGACTAGTCAGGAGTCAGAGGTGTAATACTGAGTATTTACTAAAATATAGTTCATTTACATAGGGTGATAGCGAAGGAAGAAAAGAGAAGACGAGGAACACCTCCGCTTTCTTCAGGCATCTTTCATACTCTTCACTAGGAGTTTGTGTAATACATTATCTGTGTTACATAATCTGTAACCATACTTTCCCAGTCGATATGCAAGAATATGCATGGACATTACCATATATGGCCTCTAAAGGCCTTATCCCAGATGTCAAGGGTTCCAAGTATGACATAAACATCAAGCAAACTCAGGCTGTTACATTGATCATTGTGTTATAGAAAAAAAGTAAGCACAGAATAAAATGGAACACACCACACCAACATTCCACTTATTTCCATAACTGTATTAAATTCAAAATAAATTTTTTAAAAACAACATGGCTTACCAAAATATGCCAGAAAACAAATGCCAGAAATGTTTTCTAAACATCTTAATGTAATACTGACACTAAAACCTCAAAATAAAATAAAAGAAATACAGAAAAAAGTAATTAATAAAAATCACTGTTGTACCCAGTTTGTCTAAACTTGATTCACTCAGGTAACATTACAATCATGTGAACAATTACCAAAGATTTATTTATTTATTTGTTAAATGCCCTTTAAAACCATCATCTGTCCCTTAAACCAAAAGCATTCTCTATATACTCCAGTAGAAACCTACCCTTTGCAAGTGCGGGAGTTAAATTTGAAGCCTCTGATCTTTTGAGGAGTTTTGACATTTGAGACCTCGGACGAGACGTGATATGAAGAATCTGACGCCTCCTTATCAAAACAGCTCCATCTGGCCTTCCCGTTCTTCTTGCAGCAGAAGTAGTGACTGGTCTTAATGGAGAATTCCTGAGTACAGTAGGCAGACAGACTCTTCTTCCACTGTAGTCAGAAATAAAGAAACAGCTTTAGTATAAATACAATTAGTTACATTTACAACAACACAGAGAAAAAGAGAGAGAGTGCAACAGTCATGAGAGAATCAAACTCAAAGCTTTTCTTTGGCATTGGCCCATTTCAAGGGTGCCAGATGTTTTGGATACTTTCTCACCAAAGACTAAATAGTAAGAGGAAAACGAGGAGAGATTTTATCTAAAGACACACTAAATCGTACATGAGAGCAGATATTTCCCTGGTGGTGCACAATGTTCATATAAACACTTTTAGTTGATAAGAGAACAAACCGAGTCACATATATATATATATATTTTTTTTTAAAGACAATGTAGATGCAGTAAATTAGAAAGGGAGAAGAAAATAAGTCTTTACAGGGATTGTTCATCCAAAAATGAAAATGTTATCATCATTTACTTACCCTCATGTTGTTCCAAACCAGTATGAACACAAATGAAGATATTTTAAAGAATCTTGGTCACCAAACAGTCGACGGTAGCCACTGACTTTCATAGTAGGGAAAAAATACTATGGAAGTAAATGGCTACCGTCAACTGTCTGGTTACCAAGATTGTTTAAAATATCTTAATTTGTGTTCAACAGAAGAAAGAAACTCGTACAGGTTTGGAACAACATGAGGGTGAGTAATGACAACATTTTCATTTTTGGGTGAACTATCCCTTTAATATGAATTCTGTAAGAAATGTTCGTCTCCCTCGATCTGGAGCATACTTTAGTAATGTGAGGAATCTGAAAGCTGTTAAAAACAGATGTGAGTGTAAACAAACACTGTGACTCTGTGGCACTAAAACATTGCTGTTTGTTTTGTTTGTTCGAGAAGGGGCGATATTGCAAAATCATGCCTCAACCAATGGCAGAAGTTTGGTGCTGGATCAACGACATTACATCTATAATCACAATCTTTCAAACTATTCTAACTAAAACTTTGAGGGAAAATGTTATTTAAAGTCTGAAAGAGTTTGTTTATACCAAAATAGTCCAAAAAGACGATCTCACCCTCATGTCGTTCCAAACCCGTAAGACTTTCGTTCATCTTCAGAATGAAATCTGAGAGCTTTCTCTTCCTCCATTGACAGCTACACAACTACCACTTCGACGCTTCAAAAAGTTCATAAAGAGATCGTAAAACTAATCCATATGAATTGAACGGTTTAGTCCAAATTTTCTAAAGAGACACGATCGCTTTATATGATGAACAGATTGAATTTAGACTTTTATTCACATATAAATATTCATCAACACACACATCAGTTGTGGTAAACAGTAGCATGTTCGCTTGACCAATGAGGTTCATTCTCGTGTTACCCGGCACGTTTGAGCTTCTGCGAGAACCAATGAGCTTCTTTTTATGTTCGCTGATCAGTCTCTTCAGGAAGCTCTTCAGCTTTCACATTACCAATTTTTCATGCGACCCGTGCCCCAATTCGAACTAAACTGCCAGTATGAAAGCACCCTAATTGTCTCAGTGCCTTTATTCACAGCTACAGCAAACATTAGAAGGTGTAATAATGTTGAGACTCTCACCGCTTGTTCAGCACAACAGGTTTTCACTTCCTGTGATCCATTAATGCCACAGCAGACGCTGTACCACGACTGGAGTTGATTGACAGCTTCAGCCTGTCGAACCGCATAGCCAAAGCCAGTTGAAGGAAGCATGTCCTTTTGGTACCTGACCGGAGCTTTACTAAACTGACAGATATCTTTCAGGTTGCCTGCATTTGGAAAGGATGGGGGGAAATCAACATCTGGTCCGTCCAAGGGACCCATGGAGCGAGGGCGAAACACTTGGTGACCTGAAGAGGCAGATGAAAGATTTTGAAACGCAAAACACATAACATTTTGCTATTCAACAAGAGCTATATTGATCCAGTTTAGAGCTTCTTTCAAATGAAACACCGTCGAACAGCACTTTATATAAACATGGTCAACTTAAGACCTCTCTTGTTTCTTCTGACACATTGGTGAACTGAATCTCAGCTCCTAAACCGAAACACATAATAAGTTTGCATTCAACTGTACCTATTGGGACATTCTCAGGGTGAAAGTTTGTGGCTTCTCTCTGGGTCACGTCTAAAGAGTCTGCAACTAAATACATACAAAGAAACACATGAAAGGATGTGGAAAACACCATAAAGTAAAGTACAAATTAATTGACTTTCCATTCAAGAAAATGGAGATAGGCCAGCAATCACTCACCCATCACTTTGGAAAGGTCAGGGATGATCGGTCTCTGCATCATCAAAAAGTCCAGTTCTGAAATAAGAAACAGAACGTGTTTTTTTTTAAATTGATAAATGACTCAGTATTGAAATTAAACATAACCATGAGAAAAACAAACCAGTCGATCGACAACATGGCAAGTTAATACTGATCATGGCCTTACCCTCAGGGGAAAGCGGCAACTCTTTCTGAAGGAAATCTGCTAACAAACGGGGAAAGAAATAATAATCAGGTCAGGCTCCTGACACAACCATGGCTAATCATTAGTGAATAAAAAAAATATTGGGGAATATCAATGAAAAATCTGACAGTTGTGCATTTTGATTTAACAATATACAGTAGGTGATATAATGATGTTTTTGGTTAAAATACATTTTATACAACAGTTACTTCCGGTCTTCAAATTTGATTGGACAAGCGCTAGGACATTTCTCTGCTTGTAACACAGACTCAAACAAAGAGGAGACGGCAAAATCTCTAGTGCATCGATCTATGTGTATTAAAGGTGCAGCCACATTGGCGAAAATTTTCTGGGCCATTAGAGATTAGAGAGCAGACTTTGATGTCATTCACCGATGGGTCTGCGCAGCGCCGCTTCAAGTCGAACACACCTAATGATTTCTGTGTAAACACGTCACTGTTCATACATGGATGGTACACTCCTAATAATAGACCATTTTCAGTAGATTTGAAACAGTAGATTTAGACAAATTTCTGTTGGTCAACACGACGGACCCACGTGACCAACTTGAACGTGCTGCGCAATCTGCAGGGGGAAATCGTTCGCCCTTACGAAATTCCCAATTGTGTGGATTCCTATGAACTGACTGGTTTTCGCCCACGAATATTTGCAGAACAACGATGTGGCCGCACCGCACCTTAACAGACCAGCTTTCAATCTGTGCATTGTGCAAGTGGTGCGAAAAATTTGACTCTTTGGCTTTTTTGGAAGTAAATGTACGAACCAATTGAGCAATTTTGGTCTGATTGGTAAGTTACTGAATATTAATTACCAGTTAATTACTTCTATAATTTGCTCAATATTAACTGTGATATTGCTGTTTACAGTTGTATAAATCAATAATATACAATCATTGGCCAATTGGCCAATTCACTAACATGCTTATATTTATAACAACGCACTCTAGTGTTATTATCTATCTGTAGCATATATATATATATATACCGTACTCTCAGAAAAAAATGGTACAAAAGCTGTCACTGGGACGGTACCCTTTAAAAAGGTTCTACCATTAGGTATTAATATGTACACTACGTACACAAGTACCACCCCAGTGACAGCTTTTGTACCATTTTTTTCTGAGAGTATATATATATATATATATTTTTTTTTTTTCTGAGACTATATAAATGGTACAAAAGCTTCTACCATTAGGTATTGCACAATAAAGTACCAGCCCAGTGGCAGCTTTTGTACCTTATGGTGGTCTAAAGCCAAAATTATAATCTAAACAGACCTTCATCAACCACAATATCAGTAACTTCCCTTTGGACCGGCAGGGTAGGGTCTGGAAAAGTAGGACACATTGGTATTAGACATAAAAAATAAAAAATAAACTTGCACAAGAACCAACATCTGCACGCATTAGGCTACATGTTATATAACGCTGGTATCCATGGAACAGACCTGAAAAACAAACATTGCCATACAAAACATGATATAAACAACTAAATGTTTACTATCGTGAACGCCCCACTTAAATCCTGGTCATATTATATCGGCTAGCTAATATGCAAGAGTGATATGTCTGACCTTTATATTCAGAGCAAACAACATAAAAACACTATATAAATTAGCCCAGGCCTAAAAAGTTGCATTTACCTTCCGATGCTTCGCACAGAAGAGCGAGTAAAAGCGTCAAATAAAGTCCCACGCCGCGTGAAGAGCTCATGTTTGGTGCAGTCGTGAATCCCGCTGCGCTGACTCCGTGTTGTCCCGTTCCGCTCCTGCGCTTTTAAAGGCAAACTTCCTTACAGGAGCCAAGACGAGTCAAGGTCAGGAGGAGGACCATCTTCTGCTTTCGCAGACTTGCTGACACACTTCAGCTGCCTTCACATAAGTTCGTCAGTGGTAGCTTACGTGCCCGTCTCTAGCCTAACCCAGAAAAAGAAATCACATGAGGACGGAAGGGATGGCAGTGTTTACCGTCATAATACACTCATGTCCATGTAATTTCCTTTCCCAAAATCTGAAAATGGGCTAACACTTCTGAACAACACATTAAAACACGAGTTGATTTTCTAGAAATAATTGTCTATTAAGCCTAAAATGCGTAGTCTATAGTTCAACGTTTCTTCATTTTCTTTTTTAGACCGATATAATCGAATATGAAACATTAAAATGTAGGCCTACCTTCATTATGGGCTACTTAATTTTATTGTGTTAACTGTAGCCTAACTTGTAACTGTAACTTAAGCAGCTTTAGAAAAAAAAGTAAATATAGCCTAATGGAATTCTATTGTTTGGATAACAGAATTGGCCAAAAGTAGCTGTTTTAAACAGAATTCAAAACTAGAGAAAACACATCTGTTTAATTGGAATCATAACTTTAGTTAGAGGAAGCCCTTGAGTGTTCAGGCAGGGAAGAAGGAGTTAAGAGTTAACAGTGTTTTTATTAACAAAAATTTATTCTTCCAAAAATAAAGCAAAGTAAACAACAGCGCTCTTCAGCTTGGACCTTTTCACATCTGTCACAGCTTGTCTGATCTCCTCTCTCGCTGCAACAGGTTCTGGAGTCGGCTTTTTAACCTCTCTCCCCGATCTAACTCCCACTGACCCTCTCCTTATACACACCGCCAACAGTCCAGCTGCATCCGAAAGATGAAAATGCATAGAGGTAAGAAGACAACAAGGCACATCCAGTATTTGGGAGTAATGTGTAATCAGAATACTTGTTCCAAGTAATTAAAGTAACACATTACTTCTGTTATATTTAAAATAAGGTGCATTTCACTTTTGGTGCAAGGGCCTTTACATTGGGCAGAAATATAACTTTAGGGTTTTTTGTGTTATTAAAAAACAAACCAGCAAGCCCAGCCCAAGTGAGAAAAAGTAACACAAAAGTAACGGAACATTAATTTCCATAAAAAGTAACTTAATGCAATTGGTTTCTTTTTTAAGGAGTAACACAATATTGTAACGCATTACTTTTTAATGTAACTTTCCAATGTTTGTGTCACATCCTGTCTACTGAGATAACTTCATTTATTTTTAAGGCAACGTATCCTTTGCTGCCAACGATATCCTACAATCCTGTGCGTTGCATGCAGTGACAGTTAAGTTTAAAAGCAAAAATGGCATCTGCAAGTCGGGTTGGTGGTCAGTTTGTGTGTAAATGTAAACTTTTTTTATCAACTTTTTCCACTTTTAATGTCATTTTATAGCGATTGTTGTAATAATTAAATATTCGCTTAGTTTTCACCAAAGTGTTCTCTATTTTCTTTCAGTGGTCATTAAACCGTCACACTGCCTCAGAAGTCCTTCTGAAATCAGTTTCGTGAGGAACCTTTGTGTGCAAACGCTGCCTGCAAAGTCATTGCCAGTGAGGCACACTGTAAAACCCAACAAGTTAAGCTAACTCATTTCATTTGAGGAAACCGATTGCCTCAATTCAATTAAGTTTATAAAGACAATAGTTATGAGTACATTGAACTTATTTTAATCGAGTCCACTAAAACAATGATATTTCTTAATAATTAAAATTACACAATTAAACTTTACACTGCATTTAAATACTTTATATAGCTGAAACTTCACTATATTGAGTAAAAACAGTGAAATCACAAACTTTAAATGAACTCAGAGCACTTGCAGTTACTGCTAGCTCAGAATATCACACACAAAGTCAAATACAATAAGTTAAGATAACTCATTACATTTGAGGACACTGATTGCCTTAATTATTTTAATTTTAGAAACCAATAGTTATGAGTACTCTGAAATTATTTCAGTTGAGTTCACTAAAAGTAGATATACATTGCAGTCAAGAATTAAAGGTGCCTTGTGTAAAAAAATCAATTCAAAATCCACATATTCCAAACCAGATGGGGGCAGTATACCTCCAGAAAGTTGGCCTACTCTAGTCTGTTTTTTAGTTTCGGGTTGTTAATCTTCTAAAACCGTCAAATCGTCCGCTTTGTCCCACCAAAGCCTATTTTGATCGGTGAGTGATGTAGAATAGGCTATGTGCACAAGCGTAATTTCGAACTTCCGCTATTGTCAGAAGTCGGCATGTCAGTTTCCGGTTTACGGCTGTTCATCCGCATCCGCTATAAACGAACAAGATGAGTGCTGCTGTTGTACGAAAAAAAGAGTTGTTAAACACATCTAAGTTTCTAAGAACTGTAGGTGGATCTATCATCTAACGCCCGTTTCACACGCGCGCTATAGTGCTTTCACATATGATGCGTTTGCAGTGAATAACTGATCCGCGGCTGTACCACAAACACATACTTACTATTTTTATTTAAAATCCAGAAGTTGTGCTGCAACTTTTATTTCAAAAAAAGTTGTCAGCATTGCGATTCTCTTTGTACACACTCTTTAATGGACGTATGCACGTTTAAACACAATTTAAACAACGCAAGTTAGGGCTATTATTCCATGCATTACTTATATTAAGTTGCTCAAGCAAGTGGTCAAATTTACTATATTAAAATGGCAAATATTTTAAATTAAAACTTAAAATTGGCAAAAACAGCCGACTCACATGCCTTTTCTTTTGCATTTAAATTGTAATAGCCTACAATAGATCTTGCATGTCACAAAGAACTTGTTTTTCCACCTCCACGAATGAGACGAGTGTTGTTCATTATGTCGCCTTAATTGTAGTTTTCCTTGATTTACCCCGGTCTTCACAGTCTTCAGATGATAGTAGTACCGGTATATTAAATGCATTTATGGTGAGATTACTACATTTTATTTAATGAAACGCATTTATGGGGAAATTACTACATTTTCAGGTCAATCTTTGTGCATTTTGACCACGAAACATGCGGTGTCACTTTAATGCAGCACAGCAGAAATAGATTCGGTGCAGAAACGATCACTGCTGTTATACGTGCCGCATCTGGAACGGTGTGAAAAGTGAAAGCCCTAACCTGTTAACATGATGCGTTAGGAGCACTGCTGTGTGCCACTTATTTGCTCTGCTTCAAGTCGCTAACAGCCATTTGAGCTTCCACCGCTTCCCGAAAAACACCAACCTTCGTGCGCAGTGGCTGCACAAAATAGACATTTTGGACGACGCGAAAAAAAAAAAAAGTAAGTATGTGTTTGTGGTACAGCCGCGGATCAGTTATTCACTGCAAACGCATCATATGTGAAAGCACTATAGCGCGCGTGTGAAACGGGCGTTAGATGATAGATCCACCTACAGTTCTTAGAAACTTAGATGTGTTTAACAACTCTTTTTTTCGTACAACAGCAGCACTCATCTTGCTCGTTTATAGCGGATGCGGATGAACAGCCGTAAACCGGAAACTGACATGCCGACTTCTGACAATAGCGGAAGTTCGAAATTACGCTTGTGCACATAGCCTATCCGGTTGTTAAGTCGTGACGTAACCACTCTCCGATAATACTGTTTCCGGGTCCAAAGGCCGGGTCCTCTCTACCTACCTACCGCTTTCGCCCGAGTTTTAACGTGTTCCCGTGTTGTTTAAATAGATCGGAGTTAAAAAACAAGTGACATTCAACTGTCATTCTACCGCTTTCCCTGTGACGAGAAAGATAAGAGAAAATGGCTGCAGTTGATAAGGTAAGTTACAAATCTTAAACGAATGAAGAAACTTTGGCGCCAGTGGGTGCTATCCCTTAATCCCTAGTAACACCCACTGGCACTGAAGCAAAAAAAGCCCTTAAGAAAAGGGTTTATTTAGTCTAGGATCTGGAGTGGACGAGCGGAGCGCTTGGGCCCGGAAGAGGCTAAACGTCACGCGTGACGTCAGACTTAACAACCGAATAGAATGACTGCTGCAGCTGCGCTTGACAGGGCGCATAACGAGCAGAGAGAGAGAGAGAGCGCCCCGGCCGCGCGCGCGCGCGCACTCTCACGTCTTCAAACAACACGAGCGCTGTCCTCCTGCTCTCTCTCTCCCTCGCGCATATTAATCAAATCAATTGACACGATCGTAAGACCGCAGTTCATTTGGAGATTTTTAGAGATTAGAGACTCAATGAACAACATCTCAACACTAAATTATAAAGGCCGGTCTCATATAGACGCGATTGACATCAGGTTCAAGTACGCCCACAAGCCGTGCGAGTTATTCGTGTATTGGAGTTTGGCTGGTGGTTATGTATGTTGCCCGCATACCGCCTCCCATGGCCGAAACTGGTATTATGACACCGGCCGGGCTGGGGCTAGTAATTTAGCATGCTAATTCAGGTTTATATCTCGGCAGCACTATAACTTGTCATTTTTTTAATGACATCATTGCATTTATTTCTTCTCATTCTTTTGATACGTGGAGCTCATTTGTTGGATATTTTTACCTCAATTTTTACATATGGCACCTTTAAGTGATTAATTAAGTGATTATTGAGCATTAGTGATGAACACCTGCTGTTAACAAGCAGAATCACAGAAGGAAAGAGAAACACAAGAACTACAACTGTCATCAGCCACAGCCTTAGATGAAATCAAATGAAGATAAAAGACGACATTAAATCTCTGAAGATCTCAGCAGAGGAGGATTAAACAACTCCACAAACAGCATTACCAGCTTAATTTATTACTGACCAGATTGACTTTATTTCTGTCAGACATCTACAGAACTTGTTATTGAGAATGAACAGAGGCTTAGATGATGATGATGTATTGTTTCATTTAAAGACACCATGATAGTGGTCAGTGTTTGCTTTAGTTGGGCTCTTGACCCTTGACTTTATAACACCAGATTTTCTCTGGCTGCTGAAACTGAGTGTTTATAAAACACATTTGTTGTAGCACAAAAGCCAAAAGGAAATATGATCATGTGTCGATGGTTGTGTTTTGATGATGAAAATCATCAATTAGTGACTTGATTCCCT